GAGTGTAGTGCTGCCAAATATACAGACCTAGTCCTCCTCCTTTCTGCTGCATTTTTCATTTTTGGTTTTTCTTGGCTCTCCTTCTCTTTACACCCTTTATTTTTTAAATTAACCTAATTTTGGTATAATTAGTGTATAATAAACTGTACCCATTTAAAGTATACAATTTGATGAGTTTTCACAGATGTTTATATCTCTGAAACTATACCACAGGATAGAAAATATTTCCATTAGCCCTCAAACTTTAGTCAGACAACCATTTATTTGCTCTTTCACACAGATTTATTGTCATTTTCTGGAATTTTATGAACAGAATCATATATATGCCTCTCTGGTTGGCTTCTTCTACTTAATGTAAGGATTTTGAGATACATTCATGTTATTGTATGTCTCCATTGTTTCTTTTTACTGATGAGTTGTGTTCCATTGTGAGTAGTATTCCACTGAAACGAAAATACCACATTTTGTTTATCAATTTGGGTTGTTTCTAGTTTTGGCTTCAGTGAGTACAACTGTTACATATGTGCTTTTCATTTTCTTGAGTAAATAAGTAGAAGTAGAATGGTGAAGTTGTATGTTTAACTTTATAAGAAACTGCCAAACTTTTAAAAAATTATCTCATTTCCCATTCCCACTGGCTGGGTATGAGAGTTCCAGTGCTTCCACATCCTCACCAACACTGGCTGTTACCAGTCTTGTTAATGTTGGCTACTCTGATGGGTATATAATACTTCTCATAGTTTTAATTTGCATTTCCCTGATGCTTAACCGACTAAGCCACCCAGGTGCTTCTGTTAGTTTTGTTTTTTAATAAAGGATAATTTTTTGTGGAGTCTATGTGTTCTATGTAAGAAATCTTTGTCTCCTTATTTTCTTTTAGGTCTATGATCCATCCACTTAGAATTAATTTTTATATATTAGATAAGGGCTAATGTGTTTTTTTTAATCTATGAATCTCTCATTTAGCATCGTTCATTGGTAAGATTTTCCTTTCCTCTTGAATTGCCATGGCACCTTTGTCCAAAATAATTGACCACCTATATATGGATCTGCTTCTGGGTCCTCTTCATATATACACCTTATCATTTAGCTAATAATTGCACTGTCTTGATTGCTGTAGCTATATGATGTTGAGTAGTCCCTCCAACTTTAGTCTTTTTAAAAATTGGACTATTCTGTTTGTTTTCATTTCCACACATATTTTACAATCAGCTTTCCATCTTGTATAAAAGAGCAGGTTTGGATTTTGACTTGGATTCCATTGAATCTTTAGCTAAATTTAGGGGAAACTGACTTCTTAACAATTCTTGCAATTCATGGATATGGTATGTAATATAAAATATAATGTTCTATAACTATTCATATGGGTCATTGTTAATTCTTTTTGTTACTTTCATTTAACATTTTTGCCTCTTACCAGATTCTTCATATGAATAAGATAAACACAGAAACTTGTCATTTCATACAAGGTAGAAGAGGTTGAATCAATTAAAACTTTGAGATTTGGTAATGATATGAAAGTATTTACATTTACTTCATGTATCATGTGTAACTTACAACATAGAGAATGAATATAGGCTACCCAATAATATAAAGCTTTTTTAAAAAATTGAGGCATAATTGACATAAATATTATAATAGTATCAAGTGTACAGCATAGTGAATCAGCACTTATATACATTGCAAAATGACCATCATATTCATTCTGCCATCACCATACAAAATTAATACTGTATTATTGACTGTATTCCCCATGCTGCATATCACATCCCCGTGGCTTATCTATTTTATAACTGGGAACTTGTATTTTTTTTTTTAAGGTTTTTATTTGTCAGAGAGAGAGCACAAGTAGGAGGAACGGCAGGCAGAGGGAGAAGCAGACTCCCTGCCGAGCAAGGAGCCCGATGTGGGACTCAATCCCAGGACCCTGGGATCATGACCTGAGCCAAAGGCAGATGCTTAACTGACTGAGCCACCCAGGTGTCGCAGAACTTGAACTTCTTGATCCCCCTCCACCCATTGCACCTGCCCCCTCACAACTCCCCTCTCTGCTAGCAAACACCAATTTGTTCTCTGTATCTCTGCATCTTGGTTTGGTTTGGTTTGGTTTTTTACATTCCACATATAAATAAAATTGTGGTATTTGTCTTTCTCTTACTCATTTCACTTAGCATAATATCCTCTAGGTCCATCCATGTTGCTGCAAATGGCAAGATTTCATTCCTTTTTGTGGTTGAGTAATATTCCTATGTCTGTGTGTGTGTACGTGTGTATGTGTACACACACCACATCTTTATCCATTCATCTATCAGTGGACACTTAGGTTGCTTCCATATCTTGGCTGTTATAAATAATGCTTCAATAAACATAAACTTTTTTGGATTAGTGTTTTTTTGTTATCTTTGGATAGATGCCCAGTAATGGAACTGCTAGATCATAATCTTAGTTCTAGTTTTAAGTTTTTGAGGGACCTCCATACTGTTTTCCATAGCGGCTGCACCAGTTTACATTCCTAAATGGTGCACAAGATTTCCCTTTTCTCCATATTCTAACACTTAATATTTTTTTTATAATAACCATTCTGACAGGTGTAAGGTGATATCTCTCATTGTGGTTTTGATTTGCATTTCCCTGGTGATGAGGGATGTTGAGCATCTTTTCATGTGCCTGTTGGCTCTCTGTTGTCTTCTTTGGAAAAATGTCTATTCAGATCCTCTAATTGGATTGTTTGCTTTCCTGTTACTGGGTTGTATGAATTGTTTACTTATTTTGGGTATTAATCTGTTATTGGATATATGATTTGCAAATATCTTCTATTCAGTAGGTTGTCTTTTGATTTTGTTGGTTTCCTTTGCTGTGTAGAAGCTTTTTAGTTTGATGCAGTCTCCTTTGTTTATTTTGTTTAGCTTGTCTTTGGAGTCAGATCAAAAGAAAAAATTGCTAAGACTGATGTCAAAGAGCTTACCACATGTTTTCTTCTAGGAGTTTTATGGTTTCAGGTCTTACATTCAAGTCTCTAATCCATTTTGAGTGAATTTTTGTATATGGTCCAGTTTCATTCTTTTGAATATACCTGTCCAGTTTTCCCAGCATCATTTACTGAGGAGACCATCCTTTTCCCATTGTATATACTTAGCTCCTTTCTCATAAATTAATTGACCACATATGTATGTATATATTCTCAGGCTTTATCTGTTCCATTGATTTATATGTCCATTTTTATGCAAGTACTGTACAGTTTTGATTACTACAGCTTTGTAGTATAGTTTATTTTTTTAAAAGATTTTTTTTTAAAGATTTTATTTATCCATGAGAGACAGAGAGAGAGGCAGAGGGAGAAGCAGGCTCCCAAGGAGCAGGGAGCCTGATGTGGGACTTGATCCCAGGACCCTGGGATCATGACCTGAGCCAAAGGCAGACTCTTAACCATCTGAGCCACCCAGGCGCCCCAAGATTTTTTTTTTAATTTATTTTCTTGACGGAGAGATTGACAGCGAGAGAGGGAACACAAAGCAGGAGGAGTGGGAGAGGGAGAAGCAGGCTTCCTGCCAAGCAGGGAGCCCGATGCGGGGCTCAATCCCAGGACCCTAGGATCATGACCTGAGCTAAAGGCAGGCACCCAACGACTAGGCCACCCAGGCACCCCGTAGTATAGTTTAAAATCAAGCGTGTATTCCTTCGGCTTTGTTCTTCTTTATCAGGATTGTTTTTGCTGGTCAGGGTCTTCTTTGGTTCCATACAAATTTTAGAATTATTTGTTCTAGTTCTGTGAAAAATATCATTAGATTTATTAGAATTTCAATAGGGATTGCATTAAATCTGTAGATTGCTTTGGGTAATATGGCTATTTTATTAATATTGATTCTTCCAAACCACAAACACGGAATATCTTTCCATTTATTTGTGTATTTTTTTTTTCATCAAGTCTTTATAGTTTTCATTGAATAGGTCTTTCACTTCCTTGGTTAAATTTATTCTTAGAAGGGTGCCTGGGCAGCTCAGTCAGTTGAACATCTGACTCTTGGTTTTGGCTCAGGTCATGATCTCAGGGTCATGAGATCCAGTCCTGCAATGGGCTCTGTGCTCATCACAGAGTCTGCTTGTCCTTCTTCCTCCCCCTCTGCCCTTCCCCGTGCTCATGCTCCCACGCATGCACCCTCTCTCTCTCTCATAAATAAATAAAATCTTTAAAAAAAAAAAAGAGGTCTAAAAAACCCAAAAATTTATTCCCAGGTATTTTACTTTTTTGATGTAGTTGTGAATGGGATCAGTTTTCTCAATTTCTGTTTCTCATAGTTTATTATGTATAGAAACACAACCCTTTTTTTTAAAGATTTTATTTATTTATTTGAGAGAGAGACAGCAAGAGAGAACATGAGTGGGAGAAGGGGATCATGACCTGAGCCAAAGGCAGATGCTTAACTGACTTAGCCACCCACATGCCCCAAAAAAGAACCCAACGGGTTTTTGTATATTGATTTTTTTTTTTTTACCTTGCTACTTCACTGAATTTTACTAGTTTATTAGTTCTAATGGTTTTTGATGGAGTAGTTAAGGTTTTCTATATATAGTATCATGTCATCTGCAAATAGTGACAGTTTCACTTCTTCCTTTCCAATTGGTATGTTTTTCTTTTTCTTGCCTAGTTGCTGTGGCTAGGATATAAATTTAATTTTTTTTATGGTTTTAGTTAAAAAAAATACATATAAATAAGTTCTAATATTTTCTCTCTGTACCCTAGCAGATTGTTATCTCTCCACTTTGAGGCTGCTACACTCATTGAATGGTTATGAATTGAATGCTTTGGTAGATTATTTGTAGAAGTGCCAAACTTCAGTCTTTTGCATGGCATTAACATCTGGCAAAACATAAACACATACATACACAGATGGAAATTATGAATTATTATACTGGACTGGATTAATAGATGGATTTACCAGATGTAAAGTATTTAAATTTTCCATTATGCTACTAAATAATCTTTCTTCTTATTTTAACAGATATCAGACACCCTGAAGAACTTTCTCTCTTGAAAAAACCCAGAGATCCAACTAAGAAAAAAAAGAAAAAGTTAGATGACCAGTCTGAAGATGAGGCACTTGAATTAGAGGGGCCTCTTATCACTCCTGGATCAGGTGAGACTTCGTTAGACAAAGCAGAGGCATAGTGTGAAAACCATGGATGTGTCTATATGTTTGTGGTTTTTTGACAAATGGTTTACATAGGTCAGGAGAGTGATCTACTTTAAAAAACTCTCCTTCAGCATTTTTTCCCTCAGCCATGAAATCACCACTAGGGTCTGTCATGTGCAAATCATCGTGTCAGGTGTTAATAGCTGCATCAATAAAAAGGAAGGCTGGTTCTCTGCTCCGGAAGAATAAAAAAGGGGCAATACCTTAACTGGGCTCAGTTTTTTGCATTGTAAAAAATTGGACAGTTTTTTAGTATTTAGTTCCTTTTTTCTGTATTCTGTGAAAACCACACTAAGACATTATTACTTCTGTGGGTTACTTAAAATCTTTGCGTTTAAAATCTTTGCGCTTTGCATATACTGGTCCCTTTGCCTTTTCACCTTTTTCCTTTAAGGTTTTGCCCCTTTAAGAAGCTTTCTTAGATTTCCTTCCATTACCTCCCCAACCTGAATTAGGTATCCTTCTATTTTAAGACACCACACTTTTCTGTGTTTGGTATTGTACTGCATGTTCTTACCTATTAAATTGTGAGGTCCCGGCATGATGGAACTGTCTCTCACATTTTTGTTACCAGAACCTAACTTAGCATGTGGCATTCAGCAGGAGCATAGGCAGTGTCTTTTGGGGAGCTAGATGACTAATTAAATTACATGGTTATTTATTTAGTCCTGGGCATACACAGGGACTGGACATTACAGTTTCCCATGTGTCTATCAGCCATACATTTATAAATCCATTTCTTAGGAAGTGGGTCCCTCAGTCAGTAAGTAAACTAATTTAACTAATTCAGTTCATTCTTGGTTTTTTAAATTCTGGGGTGATGATAATGGAAACAATTTAGTGCTTACTGTATGCCCATTTTACACATTATACTCATGGAAATTAAATTTAGTGTATTTTACTTGTGGAAACTCACTTAATTCTCACTACAACCCATTGCAGATTATGTTATTACTCATTTTAAGGTTGAAGAAATGGCACAGTAAGGTTAGGAACGTCTGACGTCATATAACTTGTAACTTTTATGCCCTTACTCATGTACTGATTGGACTTCGGGGATACCAAAAAATAAGAAAATCCTTAACTCTTAAGAAGTTTTTAGGCTATTTGGCTCAGGTCATGATCTCAGGGTCCTGGGATCAAGCCTCACATCAGGCTCCCTGCTCCACAGGAAGCCTGCTTCTCCCTCTCCCACTCCCCCTGCTTGTGTTCCCTCTCTCACTGTCTGTCAAAAAATAAATAAAATCTTTAAAAAAAAAAAAAAACTTTTAAGGCTAACTGAAAAAGTTACTGTATTTAAGGAGATAATATATAAATGCTAAATGAAAGTTGTAGAAAGTAGTGTTCCAGGAATTTGGAAGACAAAACCATTCCAAACAGGGTATATTTATAGGTTGGGGAATTGAGTTTGTGAATTAAGCTTTTAAAAAGTTTCACCGTGGGGTGCCTGGGTAGCTCAGTCGTTAAGCCTCTGCCTTTGGCTCTGGTCATGATCCCAGGGTCCTGGGATGGAGCCCCACATCAGGCTCCCTGCTCACTCCCTGCTCGGCGGGAAGCCTGCTTCTCCCTCTCCCACTCCCCCTGCTTGTGTTCCTGCTCTCGCTGTCTCTCTGTCAGATAAATAAATCTTTAAAAAAATAAAAAGTTCCAGTGTTTTAGTGATAACCTAATATTCTGATAAGTTAGATATTTTCCCTGTATTGCCATTTTGTTTTTAATTTTTTTCTTTTTTACTGTACTAAAGTTTTACATTTTTATGTAGTCAAATTTGTTATTTATCGTTCTGGGCTTTCATTCTTGGTAAAGAAAATGTTCACAAATACTAGAAAAATTCTTCTATATTTCCTTTTCTACTTCTATATAATTATTTCATATTTATATATTTTAACTCATTTGTAATATCAACATTTGTTATTTTTAATTCACCTGAAATTTGTTTACTAAGTATGGTATGAGATTGATATTTTGGTGGGAAATTTTCTAAAATGGATTAAATACTTTATCACTCTTTTAAAAAAGAATATGTAAGAATGTAATTTATAGTAACCAAGTTATCAGGCAGATTCTAAAATTACATGAGGTTTTTAAGATTTGTAGTAGGTGGCCCAAGACTGTAGTGCTTGTTGAATTCTTCTCTCCTCCTTATAATTTTTGTTACTGTTCTGTATAGTTGAGCAAGCTTCTATTCTGTTGTTGACTAAATATGTTACTTCATCTTACCCTATAATAACTTTCTACTTCAAATATGTTTTAAATTGGGCAATCAGGAATATAAGGTAGTTGGGATTGTCACTGAACTGAGACTTAGAAGGAATGTAAAATGCACATACCCTTTGTCCCAGCAATGTTGCTAGAATTGGGAAATAAGTACAGACATACCTGTTGGAAGGCATGTTTGCAGCAGCAGTGGTGAAGTCAACAAAATTCTAAACAAATAAATGCACACCAATTGGGAATGGCTTAAATAAGTTATGGTACCCAGGAGGTGGTGTGTATAGCTTCAGTTAGACTCACTGATTTATAGCTTGGCTCTGAAACGTAATAGCTTTTGACACTGGACAACTTACTTAACCTCTCTGTGCTTCAGTTTGCTCCTCTCAAATGAGAATAATAGGATTGTTGGAAACACTAATTAAGTTATTACCATGGAGTGCCTAACAAAATAAGAATAGAAACAATGAAGTGATCAAAAATGAAGCGTAGAGGGGCGCCTGGGTGGCTTCAGTCGTTAAGCGTCTGCCTTCGGCTCAGGTCATGATCCCAGGGTTCTGGGATCGAGACCCGCATGGGGCTCCCTGCTCGGCGAGAAGCCTGCTTCTCCCTCTCCCGCTCCCCCTGCTTGTGTTCCCTCTCTCGCTGTGTCTCTCTCTGTCAAATAAATAAAATCTTAAAAAAGAATAAAGAATTTTAAAAAAGTGTAGAATATACAAAGTAGAGGAATTTGAGAGGGCTGATTCTATTAAATGTTGTGTAATGTAGGGGAGTATATTTTGTTTTAGAAACCTCATAAAGAAAATTGCCAATTCTAACTCTATTTAATTCTAAATAGTGATTATAGTCCCATCATACTAGGAATGAATTTTCAATATTCTGACATTCCTAGTAAAAGATTTATTTGCTAGATCTTTGAAATACACAATGAGAAGATTTTGCCTAGAAGATAATGTTTTTCTATCCCTTCTTTACATATATAGCAGGATTATTCTTTGCCCACCTGAGCTGCAGTAATGTTTTTAGCCCTTTTAATTAGTATGGGGTGCCCAAGTAACCCTTTCACAAAATGCCCTTATAGTTTTAAAAGTTCTAGCATTTAAGGATATCACTGACTATCCCAGTGTTCTTTAAAGCTAAGAAAGGAGAATTGACCGCTTTCTTTGTTGCTTATTTAACAATGTTTAGTATTTAGATACTGCAAATTGTTTTAGTTATTAACATTGGAAGAATACATACTTGGGACATCAAATCAGATACTCTGTGGCTAGCAAGATTTTTTTTTTCTTTGTGTTCTCTTCCTAGACTAGATCATGACAACTACAAAAATCTCTAGCATGATCACCACTTTTCGTAGGTAATTGTTTCTATCATTGCATTGAGTGAGGTGGTGGGGAGGGGTTGTTAAGAGTGGAAAGGAAATTGCTAAGTATATTCCTATATTAGGTAAGGGAAACAGCCATTCTCTTTCCATAATCCATTAACAGTGTGATACCCATTTACACATTTTCTTTTTAAAAATTACGACTGAAGACAAAATATAATTACAGTTAGGACTTGTAGGGGAGGTGCTTTTACTTAACATTATTCTGAACTTTTAAGTCTTAATTTAATCCAGTCTCCTTGATTTTTATAGTTTAAATGATGATGGAGGATATATTGTCAGTTGACTAAGTCAACAAGTTTTTATTTAGGTAGCCTCTACTATATGGTTAGCCCTATTGAACACTGGGGAATTGGAAAATAAAATATCCCTGCCTTTAGGGACTTAATTATAAGATATATCTTTGTTAGCAAAATGTTATCTACCCATTTGCTTTAATACTTTATTTGTAAATCTGTTGGAACCAGTTTACCTATTCACTGAGAAAACATTAACATAAAATTATTCTCTTAATTTTTGTGCATTTATTCAGTTACATTGAGCTGTCTTAAAATAGGGTATGGATTTCAAAGGGTGATAAATGTGGATATGTTTGTCACTGGACATTTGACTAGAGCACTTTATTCTTTTGAATTGGACAAAAAAAACTTAGGTTACAGTTTCTAAGATTCTTTACTCTTAAATTCACTTGAAAATTTTCTTCAGTTTATGATTCACATTAGGAAAAGTCTGTTTTTTCTTTTTTCCATTTCCTTTCCTTTTCATTCTTTTGTTTCTGTCTTCTATTGTTACCTTTCCTTTACCTTCTGAATTCCTTTCTTTCCTTTCCTATAGGCACTGATGTTCTTTACATTGGCCCTCTGAAAGGTGAGCCTTGCCACAATTAAAAACAAAAGCTTGGGGGCACCTGGGTGGCTCAGTCGTTAAGCGTCTGCCTTCAGCACAGGTCATGATCCCAGGGTCCTGGGATCGAGCCCCGCATCGGGCTCCCTGCTCGGCGGGAAGCCTGCTTCTCCCTCTCCCACTCCCCCTGCTTGTGTTCCCTCTCTCGCTGTGTCTCTCTCTGTCAAATAAATAAAATCTTAAAAAAAAAAAAAAAAACAAACTTGGTCTGTCTGCTTCAGCTATATCCTTAACTTTTCTAATTCCCTTGAACTGATTTTTTTCCCCCATATTTCTGCCAACTTATATTTTTTGACCTTGTTATTATATGTTCTTATGTTACACAAGTAGAGTTAATGTTACATGTTTTCAAGACAGGTAAAATAATGTACTAAGCTTTCCTTCCAGAACGAAGCTTTTGTTTCACAGTTTCCTTTATATAGCATGTATTATTGAAAACTAAGATTCTGTACTTAATTCATATTTACTACCTATTTTTCATGTCATTTATTAGGAAGTATATATTCAAGCCCAGGACTTTATAGTAAAACAATGACCCCCACTTACGATGCTCATGATGGAAGCCCTTTGTCACCGACTTCTGCTTGGTTCGGTGACAGTGCTTTGTCAGAAGGCAACCCTGGTATACTTGCTGTCAGTCAGCCAATCACATCACCAGAAATTTTGGCGAAAATGTTCAAGCCTCAGGCTCTTCTTGACAAAGCAAAAATCAACCAAGGGTAAGTTATAAAATAGAGGTATGTTGAGGGGTACCTGGGTGTGGTTCAGTTGGTTAAGCATCATCCGACTTGTGATTTTGGCTTGGGTCATGGAATCGAGTCCCACATTGGGCTTCATGCTCAGTGCAGATTCTGCTTGAGAGTCTCTCTCCCTCGTCCTCTGCCCCTCCCCCTGCTTGTGTACATGCTCTCTCTCAAATAAGTCTTTAAAAAAAATAAAATATAGATACATTGAAGAATTTCTTTCTCCAACTAGAGGTAGAAACATTTTATTAATTTTGTCTTGCATTGTTCCACTGCTCTTGTTAATTTGTCCAGGTGGCTTGATTCCTCAAGATCTCTCATGGAACAAGATGTGAAGGAAAATGAGGCCTTGCTTCTTCGATTCAAGTATTACAGCTTTTTTGATTTGAATCCAAAGGTACCGAGGGTTTAGAGGGATCTCTTCTTTTTTTCCTTTTTGTTTTTTTCATTTGGACGTTTGTTTTTTTGGAGTTGATGGGATAAGGAATCATTTGTATATAGCAAGTATGAATAATATTAAAAACCCAAGCTTTAGACAAAAGGATCTGTATTTGAAATAAGTCTATTGTGTTAGCAGGTTGGAAGCATAATTCAGCCTTTTTCTTTTTTGTTAAAATAATTGAATTTTTGATTGATTTGTATTTTAAATGCACTAGCTTTGTACTATAGAATTGGTAAAGTTAGTTTTAGGGATTTTTTTACACCTCTCTTTAGCTGTATTTTTGGTAAAAGAAGAGTTTTATGAAATAGTATCTTTTCAGTGACTTTCAGATTTCTAAATATAAGGCAAAAGATGTTGCTTCAAAGAAAAATTCTTTAAGTCTACATTTCTTCCTATTTAATAGGCAAATATTGTAATGTTTTTACTATCAAATTACTGCATCATCTGTGCTACTGAAATACTTGGCTTTTCTGAGAAGAATTAAATTTGCTATGAAATCTAGAGTATTTTTCCCTAGAAAACACATGGCACAGAGATTTGGATCTTCTGCTTCCTTATTTATCATCCTTGGGGGGAAAACCTCTCTTGACTACTTCTCATCCTTTTCATGTCTAGATTATAGTGTAGATTTTAATGTATATACTTATCATTTTTTATTATGTGCTTAAGTAATTCTTTTTGTAACAGTAAAATGTATAATTTAGAACTACCAAAAAAAAAAAATCTTAACCCCTTTCAGGCCACATCATGTCTCATTTTAGGTAAAACCAAATCTGTTTTGGGAACATAGTTACATTTGCTGGGGAAGGGGAGTTGCTATATGTTTTGTTAACATTCTAAAATAGTATTGTTAAGACATTACTGTTAATTTTTATTAACATAGCTAAATGGATAATTCAGTAACATATAAGTAAACTTTACTACAAGTATATATATGTACTCTCTGTTTCAGATTCTTAAAATAATTACTGTTTCCAGGGACCTGACACTTGTCTAAGTATGCTTTTCCATAGTGGGCAAGATGTTCCCTGAAATAATTTACTCTCTGATTGTAACATTTTAGTGTGACAGGTTGCAATAACAATACTGAAAAGCAGTCACTTTTACCTTACTTTAAATGTCATCTTTCAAGTTAAGTTCATTTTGTTAAGAGCTCTGTAATATCTAATGATTATTTCCCTGTAAAATAACATGCAGAATCTTACTTCTAATACTGAATAATAATATTTTGGTGTTTTTTTTTAATGTCATTTTTAATGGAAAAATTAGATGTGGGTATATATACATATACCTAACCCTATAGGTATCTTTATTATTGAGTATTTGATACTGAATAAAAATCCCAGGGAAAAAAATGTATTTCGAAACTTTTTTGTCAAGCTTTGAAAGTGAATATTCAGTTTTCAAACTTTTTTATGTTAAAAGTAATGTATTACAAAAGGATTATGTCTCTTTTGCTGCAGTATGATGCAATCAGAATCAATCAGCTTTATGAGCAGGCCAAATGGGCTATTCTCCTAGAAGAAATTGAGTGCACAGAAGAAGAAATGATGATGTTTGCAGCCTTGCAGGTAGTGAAGAGTATTGTATTGGTAAATGGGACTTTACATGGGAAAAGCATAGCGGATTATTTTTAAATAGTGAATTAGAAAACTGTAATAGTGTTTTGATAGTGTTTACTTTTTGCTTTGTAGAAATTGAATACACTTAGAAGACAAAATAAGTACATGAATTTAATTTTTGTCTTCTTATCTAAGAGTTTAGTGGTATACTTAATATTTTTTGGTATCCTATAGGAGAAAAATATCCTGCCACCCCCAAATATATATTAGCTTAAAACTACCCAGTTTTCCCTTAGAAATAATATATGTATTGCAAATCAGATTTCTAAAATGAAGCTTATTAATTGCATAATTTCCTAAGTAGCTAGGGTGATAATATTTTATAAATGGCTATAGCAAAAATATGTTTTAAAGGTGAAAAAATTTTAATAGTTTAATGAAACTAAACAAATAAGTTTTTAGAATGATAATCCTTAAGAAGTAGGTAGCTAATGTTTTCTTGAGATTAAACCAGTGTTATCCCAAAAGTGGTTCTTGCATATGAGCTTTTTCAGAATTACAGTATTGCTTACTAAAAAATTGTCCACTTCATTACTGCTGTCCCCTCTAGCAAAATAACATAGGGTGGCATCCACAAATCTGCATTCTTAGAGACACTGAAATGCATGTAGCTGACCACTGGAGTAGTCATTCTTACATTTCAGATAATTGAGTGAGGCTTTAGTGAATGTTCTCAGATTATGGTAGAATTCTGGTTTTGCCTAAAGTCCTAACAAAATTGGTATTCTTTAAGTACAGGAAGCAGAGTTGACATTTAGTTGTGAAGAGCTTTCACTGTTGTGGCTCAGTCAGTTAAGCAGCTGCCTTTGGCTCAGATCATGATCTCCGGGTCCTGGGATCGGGCCTCATTGGGCTCCCTGCTCAGTGGGGAGACAGGGAGCCTGCTTCTCTCTCTCCCTCTGCCCCTCCATTCCCCCACTTGTGCTCTGTCTCGCAAATAAATACAATCTTTTAAAGAAGAAAAAAGGAAAAAAAAGCTTTCACTGTAAAAATGATTTTACTTTCTTCTCTTTAGAACAAAATAAAAATGCTCTCAATCTTCTAAATGCTTTTATACATCCAGGAAAGTTTTCTGGTTAAGACTCAAAAAATTGTCCTTTGTAATGGAAGAAAAGCTCATTTCTTCTCAGTTTACATGATGAAAGAAAGGGATCGAAACAAAGCTTAGACAAGGAAAATCTTTGATGACAGATGAGCTGGTTTAGAGACTTGCTTAATCAACTAGTTAAGAGTCTTCTATTGTGTTTCTGGATAATTCAGACTATCTGAAGAATTTCTTGAATTAAATTCTGGAGTAATCTTATTCAGAGAACCTCACTTGGTTATGGCTTTCTACCTATATCTTTCTTTCTTAGAATATGGGCTTATAATTTTGTAGTGAAGGTTTTGCCAATGACAGAATAATAATACATATAAAATATATTTGGGAGAAAACTCACAGATTTTTATTATATAGTATTTTTTTAAATCTTTTTATTATAAAAATAATGCACAAAAAAAGCTCAACAGATACAAACGTGCCTGGCACATAGGTGCTCAGAAAAATTTTTTTTTAAAAGATTTTTTATTTATTTTTTAACAGAGAGAGAGACAGCGAGAGAGGGAACACAAGCAGGGAGTGTGGGAGAGGGAGAAGCAGGCTTCCCGCCACGCAGGGAGCCCGATGTGGGACTCGATCCCAGGACCCTGGGATCATGACCTGAGCTGAGGGCAGACGCTTAACGACTGAGCCACCCAGGCGCCCAGAAAAATTTGTTGAATGAGAATATAGTTGACCCTCTAACAACAAGGGGTTGGGTCCACTTATAATAATGCAGGCTTTCTCCAATAAATATAGTACAGTAAATGTATTTTCTTTATGATTTTCCTAACATTTTCTTTTCTCTAGCTTTATTGTAAGAATGAGTATATAACACATATACAAAATATCTGTTAATTGACTGTTTATGTTATTAGTAAGGTTTCTAGTCAAGAGCAGGCTATGAGTAAAGTTTTGGGAGAGTTAGCGCCCCTAGCCCCCATGTTGTCCAAGGGTCAAATGTACACACAGTTGTATTTTCACAGAAATGGGATTATTTTGTAGCTTTCCCCCACCCCGTGTATTGTAGATACTCCATTTTAGAGCAGTAGAAAATGCATCAGAAACCATGAATTTTAATCTCTGGAAACTGAATGTCCCAAAACATAGCTCTCCTGAACCATTTTAGAATCTAGATTTGAGAGAATTCTGAACTAAAAATCTCCTGAGTTTTTAGAAGCCTTCCCAGAGACTGACCCAAAGGCTCTAGAACCCATCCAGTACCATAAGGGGGAAAGTTTGAAAAGATGGCAAGGAAATGCCTGGTATTTTTATCTCCAGCATAGCCTACACTGAATTATTTTCTCCTTGGGGCTTCTGTTTCCTTTTGTAACATAAATCTACAGTAGTAAAAAGAAACAATTAAAAGAAGGTGAGGATAAAAAATAAAAAGGTAATAACACTGTTTTTAAAGCAATTACATCCAAGTCTGTATTGTAACATTTAATAGATACCCATGCACCCTCTGAAAAGCAAAGCTGGATTTTAAGACCAGTCCCATTCATAGCCAGGGTTTTTCCGAGATAACTTCTAAGGACTTTTTGCATCACAATCACCTGACTCACTTAATAAAAATGCAGATTCTGGGCTGGACACCAGATTCGCTGAATCAAAATCTCTGGGGATGAACCTAAGAATCTGTGTTTTTAACCAACTCTCTTCATGATTCTTAACGTTACTCTAACATTTGAGGCGACTGTCTAAGGACCTCAACCTATCTCATTGTCCATGATATGTGAACATGGAAGTTTCTATCACTAAGAATCTCATTTTAGTGTAACTGAAGGTACAGCGAGAGACTGTTCATTACCAGTTCACTAAATCTTAAAATATAGGAACACTGACAGTTGGCCTCAGATTAGTTCAGTGTTCCCCATGAATAGGCTGTATTGGATACTTGAGAAATTTGGAGTGCTATTTAATGCTTTGAAAGGTAACTAATGAAGTGATTTTAAAAGTTCTGCTTACCTTTGTATGAAACCTCTGTAAGGTTTAGCATCAAAATCTAATAGATTGTTAGTATTTGTTCTAAGTGACTTACCTAAGTATGTTTAAAATCACAACTAGTTATTCTATATGCAAAGCTTTTTCTGTCTACATATAGGAGTACTACTCATTGTGTATACATACACACACATATATATGATTGTATATATTCACAATAAATGTAATCAATCTTTTCATTCTTATGTAACTGAGAATATAAACATCTTCCTCTGATTATGTTTTCAGCATTGAATTGAGGTGGGGCGGGGGGGTGGTGGAGAGTGGAGCTTTAGCTTTCAGCCTTATAACTGACAAATTTTCCTCTGCTGGGTAATAGCAGTAATATAAGGTAATCAATGTTAATCCATTTTTACAAAAGACCTTATGCATATTCTGTTAATTCATTCAGCATTCATTGGTTTCAGGATCTGTTCTAGACACAGGGAATACTGCAGTGGCGGCGGTGGTGGGGGGGCAGAAAACCAGTAAAAAAAAATCTCATGTGGAGCTTAGTGGTGGACATGTTAACTCTGAATTCTAGGGCTTCCCAAACTAAATTCATTTTTATATGTCCAAAGACCTGCTTCTTTTGGATAAATATTAGGATATTTAGGACACTGATTTCAGGTGCCGTTTATTTTCCTGTCATTCTAGTTCTTAGACAGTTTCCTCTTTTCAAGTTAGGTGATGAAAAGCATTCAGTATAGATGCAGTAATCTCATTTTAAAGTTTTAAAGTTAGAACAGTCATTTAAAGAAAATATCATTTCTGTTTTCAGTATCACATCAATAAGTTGTCAATCATGACATCAGAGAATCATTTGAACAACAGTGACAAAGAAGTGGATGAAGTTGATGCTGCCCTTTCAGACCTGGAGATCACTTTGGAAGGGGGGAAAACATCAACAATTTTGGTAGGGTGAATCTAATTCCTGCTAGTATTAGATTGAATTGATGCTTATCCTTTTGTGGATTTAGGTTCTCATAAATATTGGGTGGCTATGGAGAAATATTTCATGTTTTAGAGAATACAGGTGTTGACTTTTCAGAAATTAGTATTGTTCTAGTCTCCAGTGCTTCAAATACAGTAAAGATAGATCTTGTGATATGTGCCCATTCTCTCACAAGCAGTGTCTGCAGAGTGAAAGGTAGTCTCAAGTCACGGCAAAATCCATTTAGTGAGCTGCACATTTGAAATATTACAAAAAAGAGAATAGATCTCAGGAAAAATTTTAAATACTAAGTTTGGTTTTAAAGCTTAGGAATTAGTTATTACAGAAGAAGCACTTACTTTCAGGGCTGTTATGATTTTGCAGAATTTTCATATGCCCAGATATAAACAGTTTTAGGTGAATTAGAATCAATAATATGTTCTTAAAGGTTATATGAATTGCCATTTTGATAGCATCTTTTATTAGCTTTTTACGCCATTTGAAAATGACTTTGTAACTTATGACCATATGATTATACATTTAAAACCTTCATAATCTGTATTTTATGTAATTTTGCTTATCGAATAAGGTGATACTTGATATCAGATACTAAACATTAGAGTTTCAAATTTCAAGAAAAATCAGGAGAAAATGATTTAATTCTTTCCCTAGGGTGACATCACTTCTATTCCTGAACTTGCTGACTATATTAAAGTTTTTAAGTAAGTACAAAAAGGGGAGGGATTCCACATATTAATGAATGATAAATATCAATTTCATAGTCTCATTCACATTATTGAAATTTTTTTATTGTAAGTTTAGCAAATGCATCTGTAAAAGCATTTACCAGTTAGAGAAACACTAAATTATGAGAGAAAATAACCATCTTTACCAAATTAAAACTGCAGTACTCGTGAACTTGTTTTTTTCTGATAAACATTTTTCTTAAAGGGGAAAAACAAAGACTGTGTCGCCTAGATTGCATTTCGTAGACTCTGAGACGTACAGTGGCATTGCCAGTGGTTATTTCCTTGTTCAGAGCCCCAGATTCTATTGCATTTTATTCATTTGTTCATGGAACATTTTATAGTAAGATTCCAGTGTATCTTATCTAGACTTTTATCAATCTAGGCATAATCCAGTTGAGAGCTAGGTGTTAAAGCCGAGAGGTAAAGAGGAGAGGAGGTGATGTGGAGTATAAGATGTAAAGCTATTATGGAATAAACCATTTACTGTAGCTAAATCTAGAACAGCTCCCCATATGGATCGTTTCTGAGGTAGGGGCATGATTTCAGATGCAGCTCCCTACCCCTTTCTCTGCCCATTACACACCTTTCCTTATCCACTCTCCATCATGACTGCTCTGTTTTCTTTGTGTTTGGCATTGGGTTGGCAAGTTGAAGCAGCATTCAGATACACCCCTGAAAGAGATAAGCACTCCCCTCACTTTAGTTATGCTAGGTGCACCTGCCTGTCCAGAGAGGCCCCAAAGGCAGCCCTGTACACACCCAAGAACCTGCTGGTGATTATAGGACCTAGGAGCCTTCCCATTGGTGACATTTACTTCACCTTTCTCTTCTTGTCCTTTCCATGTGACCTGCTAGTGATAGAGATGGCTGCCACTGACAGAAATACTCGAATCCTGGCCCTCCTTTCTCCTCTGCCCATTCATTCTTTGTGAGATATTCCTGAGTAGATTGATCAAGAAGAGGCAAATCCAATAATAGCAACATTGAATAGAACACACTGGCCCAAGAACTCAGTTCAGTATATGTACAACTTGGCCTTAGACTTTTAATGATGTGAAACTTTGTCACTAATACTATTGATAAAGTTATTTAAAAAGTTGTTTTTCTGTTAATTCTATTTGACACGTAGGCCAAAAAAGCTGACTCTAAAAGGTTACAAGCAATATTGGTGCACCTTTAAAGATACATCTATTTCTTGCTATAAGAGCAAAGAAGAATCCAGCGGCACACCAGCTCATCAGATGAACCTAAGAGGTAAGGAAAGCCTTGGAATGACCAGTGTTGATGGAGAAATTTCTCTTGGCTAATAGTCAAAAATCTTTCACTTTACTGATGGGGGGGTAGTTTTTCAGCAGATTCATTACTCCTTTGGGTACTATTTTAGGTCTGGATTCTTCTTTTTTTTGGTATGTTTTTGTCACAGTTTTGAATATTCAATTTCACATGGATATTTTGTTGTAATCTCTTTGTGCAGTCCTCATTTGAAGTGATACCACTTTTCTTGTCAAGTAAATTTGTGATACCTCTTTTCTCATCTTTAGCATTGGGATATTCAGGTTTTCTTCATTCTCATCTGTGTTGTAGTTCTCTCCTCTGTTTTTGCTGGCTTCTCCTTTATCAGCATCCTGCTCCTCTTTCTGACTTTCACTGATGACAAGCTGATCCCTCTCAGGTTCCCCAGCCTCTTTTTTGGCTCAGCAGTGGGGTAGCAGGCACTTGTGGGGTTTGACCAAGTTCTTTCTCTTCCCCAGTAACTCTTCCTGCACATTTTTGTTCAACACTCAGCTCTTGGTCTGGCCTCTGGGGTAGCCCCAGGGTACTCCTCTGAGGCTCCTCCTAGCTGACAACCTGAATCTCATTGGCTTCCTCTTGTATCTTCAAATCTAGAGCTGTCCCTAGGGGCTGGTATTTGAGGCACATGTCATTGGACACATTTCCACTCCCTTGTGGTAAGTGTGCTTCCTGTGGCCTGGGCTGATCTGGCTGGGGGCTCATACTACTGGCTTTGGCCTTCTCCCCCCCCCTCCCCCCATTTCATTTGCCATTTGGGTGACTTCTTTGGTTCTTCATACTGCTCCTTCACCTCCTTTATCTGATTGATGCAGTGGTTCAGGTAGAAGGAGAATTTCCTGTCCAGGTTGGTCTGGTTCTTCTGCAGCTAGAGGAAATCTTCTGCTTCCTGCCGCAATTTTTTTACAGGGTCTTACAGATTGTTGATGAGCCCTTCACTTGTGGGCATATTTACTAAAAGCACCTGGCTCACTTGCAGTGAGAACTGCACTCACCACACCCTTGGCACCAGTGTGCTTGATGCAGGATGCAGTAGATTGGCATCTCACCGTTCCATACTCTTTACAACAAAGGCCAGAAAACTAAAATACATTTTCTGGACTTATTTCCAGTGAGATTTTGATTCCAATCAGATGCATTCATGTTGAGACTTGAATTCCCGATTAAGTTAAGGGGCTGAAGAGACAGAATTGAGAAAGGAGCAAGGTGCTTCTGGGCTATGGAGCTGCAAGGGCAGCCTCCTGGTTTCCCAGCCTCTTGGTGGTAGCACTTGCCTTTGGCAGACCAGTTGTGAGGGTGGTGTTCAGGGAGTTAATTCCTATTGGCCCAGCCCATTTCTCCTTTGGGTTACATTTTGCATGTACATTTATGATTATATGTAAAGCAAATATGTCTTTCTAACTAAAAATATCCATATTTGAACAAAAGTACCCAAGAAGGGGGCCCCTGACTCATTCACAAAAACGATTCCCAAAACAATTTTATTTACTGCTTAAAATACAGAGGTGCTTTCCTTGATCTATAGTCTTAATTTTCCTTTCTACATAGTACATTAAGATATTTTTACTATATTTCAACAAATTGTCCAAATCTGTGTTCTGCCCAGTAGTCCTCTGAATTGTTGTTTTAAAAAATAGGAAATCCCTGTCCTGGGTAGAAGATTGATGTGCCCATGTGTTAGAATTCTGTAATTTTCCTAAAAGTTAATTAGGCTTACTGCCTTTCTCTTGTAAGAATCATGGGTTTAAATCATAGGTCTCTCATTATTTGTTACTCTTAGAATCTATTGCAGCTTTGTTCTTGCTTCTCTTCTAGGTTGCCCAGGACCAGCCCAGAATATCCACTTTTGATATATAGACTAGATCTGTCTTCTCTGTCCCCCCTATTCCATCCTTAACCTTTTTTTTTAAGATTTTATTTATTTATTTGACAGAGAAAGAGAACACAAGTAGGCAGAGTGGCAGGCAGAGAGAGAGGTAGAAGCAGGCTCCCTGCTGAGCAGGGTGCCCAATGTGGGGCTTGATCTCAGGACCCTGGGATCGTGACCCGAGCTGAAGGCAGATGCCCAACCGACTGAACCACCCAGGCGCCCCCATCCTTAACATTCTCCCTTTGTGACTGAGAAGTCAAGTCCTGGTATGGAGAATGGCTTACGATGTGCCACCTCTTCCAGCTCCTCCCAAAAGAGCACTTTTCCAGCACATCACACTAACAAAGATACCACCAGTCTAAAAATCAAATGGCATAGATTCTGTTCTGCTGTTAAACAAGCCCTGTGATTTTAGAAAAATAGCCTCTTTGGATCTCAATAACTTCCTCTAAGAAATGAGAGTTTTAGACTAGATGCTCTCCCAAGGCCTTTGGACATCTAAAATGCAAGGTGTAAAAAATTCAGTTAAGCAAATACTGAGTGAATTTCTGTGCCGTAAACTGTGCTAGAAACTAGAGACATGAGAAAGAACAGATGACAGTCCCACCCCTTGAGGGGTTTAGAGCATGTTGGGGAGATAAACAGTTACAATTTGGACAATAGCACTTTAAAAAGTAAGTAACAGATCTAAGGAAGAGCAAAGGGGTAAGGGTGCTTGCTACATCAGTGTTCAGTGACAATGGAGAGAATTAGGGTAGACTTTGTGGGGGAAATAATGCCAGAGTTAGATCCAAGGTCTAATTCGAGGTCCATGGAAGGAAGGTGAGTTGGTAAAAGCTGTCCAGGCAGAGACTGGTGTGGAGAAAAGCATCAGCAACCACAGGGAGTTTTGTGCTGCTGGAATGTAGAGTTCAAGGGGGAGGATGAATACTTCCGTAGTGGCTGTTGAGTCTGATTCCTACTAAGATGAGTGATAATAGCAGAACAAATTGGTAGGAATTAAGAGGATAAAAATGGTGAGAGTGTTTTTTAAACTGGCAGCAGTGACGTGCCATTGAAAGATTATTAACATGAAAATGAAAGGATCCATCCTATTTATATTGGCTACGGTATAGAGGAATAATTTAGAGCAGTGACTGTGATCCAGATTAAGGTGATCAATATGGATGGGGAAGAGGGTGCCAATTCAGAGGACCCTCAGGAAGTCCAGTCAGCCGCCTGGGTGATTGACTTGGGAGAGGCCAATGGGGAGGGACTTATTTCTGGCTTGTGCAGTTGGGTGAATAGGGTTGAGAATGTATAAGACCTGAGTTTGGGGAGAAAGATGATGAGTTTAATTTTGGGTCATTTTAAAGTCGAGGTACCTGGGGGATATCTATTGAATATACGCTGTAGGCCATTGGATCACGGGAGATCCGCACTGCAGATACTGATGGTAGCAGTTTTAGGATTAAAGGTAAATGCAGCCTTAGAACAGTTGTCTGTAATATGAAAAGGCCTAAGAAGAGAACCCTGCAGAACACCCATGTTTGAGGTCCAGGGCAGATTAGAGGAAGAGGAGCTTGCAAGGGAAACATCAAATGCTTATGAAGACCATGGAAATGAGGTATGGTGGGGGCTAAGGTAAAAGTTGTTTCCAAAAGGACAATAATCAATAGCATCAAATGCTACAGAAAAGATTGTTAAACTTCCATAGCATTTCACCTCATTGGAGGTGGTTAGTGGCCTTGATGAAGAACAGATTCAGCAGATTTCAGGGGCCTTTTGAGTATGGGAGCCAAAGTACAGTCATGGAGAAGTAAATCGGAAACAAAGGTAGTTTTTTGATGAACCTTATCTGTGACAAGGAAGGAGAAAGAGGGCAATAATAGAGGTATAAGGTGGAGGAGAAAGGCACTTTGTGGTTTAAGATGGGAGAAACTCAAGGAAGTTAAATGCTGATGGAAACATCACACTAGAAATAGAAAGGAAGAAAGAAATCTAGTATTTGGGAGAGGAAGAAGATCTCTTTAATGGATCAAGCCTCCTGGGATGGCAGAAAACTCAGCCCACTTGGGTAGGAGAGCCTTAAGAGGAGAGATGCCTCTTCTACTGTGTGGAAGTTGAGGGCAGCTAGCTTTATCAGCCATGGTGGCAGGAAGTTCTGTGACTCACTTCTGATGGCTTTCTTGGAAAAAAGAGATGAAGTTGTCCACTGAGAGTGAGTGGCATCGGAGGCCTGAGAAGATTTGAAATAAACATTGTTGAGAATGTCTGAAAACACAGAAATACTACAAGTGTTGAGGGCCAGGTTGAAGTTGGGAGTCCATGAATTTCTAGTGAAACCTATCTGCTTGGTTTTGTGATCCCCCCCCCCCCCCCCCTCCTTTGAGTGTTCAGTAGCCTAATGTAGGCAAGTAAAAGATAGGTGGTTGGATTGAGCCCTGGTTAAGGTTTTGGTAAATGTGTGTAATGGAAAGACAGTGAGTCTAGGGAATTGGAGCTTGATACCTGGTGAATGGTGTGCAGGCTGAACTCAGGAAAAGGAAGAGGTGAAAACATGTTGCTGATGGGGAGAAAGTTGAGGGGTTGCAGCAAAGGGTCCCTCAGATAGTTTGAAGAGAGGACTGAAGATTGTGATTAGAATGGGCTGTTTGCATTGAACATTTCAGAGGAAGCATAATTGGGTTATAGTGAAGTGTGGCATGTTGCCATTGAAGTAGGCAGCCAAGGTGGCACGGAGTGAATGTGGCCTGAGATGTGGCCTCGTTAAGTGCCTCTCCACCTACACTAGCACCTGAGTTACCAGTCACTTTGCCTCTCTGGGCTTTTTAGTTTTTTTGGTATTTTACTTTACTTTTTTTTTTTTTTTAAAGTTTATTTATTTAAACAGTCTTCGCACCCAACATGGAGCTCAAACTCAAGACCCTGAGATCAAGAGTCACACGTTCCTCCAATTGAGTCAGCCAGGTGCCCCAGTATTTTATTTTTAAAAGAGGCCTAATTATTACGGGATTATATACTTTAAATCCACTTGAATGATTAATGAAGTCCGTAGAAGATCGCATATCTTCAAACATCTCTGGTTTTTTTTGTGTGTTTTTTTTAAGATTTTATTTATTTGACAGAGAGAGACACAGCGAGAGAGGGAACACAAGCAGGGGGAGTGGGAGAGGGAGAAGCAGGCTTCCTGCCGAGGAGGGAGCCTGATGTGGAGCTCGATCCCAGGACCCTGGGATCATGACCTGAGCTGAAGGCAGATGCTTAACGACTGAGCCAGCCAGGCGCCCCCAAACATCTCTTTGTTTTAACTTTGCAGATTAAATGCGTTGCCACACAACTTACTGATAGTTTGTAATATTTGCACAGAAAGAGTTAAATGCTGTAGCTAATATTTTTTAAAAGAAAGCAAGGGGGAGAAAGTCCACCAAATTCATGATAGGAGTTGCTTCTGGAGAGAAGACCTCCCATTTATCTAAAATGTTCTGTTTCTTTTAATATGATACTTCAGTTTTAAAATTTGTCCTTTTTATTTGGTGGGTATATAGAGGTTTATTATCTTGTTTCTTATACTCTCTGTGCAGAGAGAAATTTGCTCGAGTGCAAAGAGCAAGGCGACCACAGGCCCTGCTAACAGTTTACAAGCCTACTTGATGGTCCTGAGACGTACTGAGGGTGACAATTGGAATACCCTTTAAAGAGCTTGACATGTACATTATCTTTTTGTCCTTATAGCATTCCAGTGAGGTAGAGTTTAAGGTCGGGAAATTTGGGGAGAGATGTTAAATAAATTGGCAATAATTATGAAGTGACAGAGAAAGATGTGGAACCTAAATCAGATGGCAGAGCTCCACTCCACTATATTACACTGGGTACTACTTGTTTATGACAGCCATTATCCTACCATCTAACTGAGTATATGTTCAGTCCATCTAAAGCTACTAGCTAATGCTTAATCAAGTCAATTACATGGATTTTGTAGCCCATAAATCTATGTGTTGCTGAAAACTTGACAGTAAAGTTCTGAATGTCAGTTATTTTCATGCTGACTTCCCCAGTATGGTAAGTGTACATTACCTTCTGTAGTAGATGTGCTCCTAAAATATTGCGCATAAAGTTAACTTATAAATTGAGTCATATCTATGAAGGAATTACGGTTTTAAAGAATCCATTTTTGTGCAGATGCTCACTCTCTGAAGTATTTTTAAGTGTGAATATTTAAGTGCTCCAGCACTCTGGAATCTTGGAAAGAGGCATATGTGTAGGAGCATCCAGTTAGATCAGGAAAGCCTGTGTTTTCCCTCCTCTCTCCTCCCCCTGTGCCATTAGGCTTCTTCCTTCCATGGAGGCATAGGAGGGCCCTGAGGAGACTCCCATATAGGACCCCAGCTCAAACTAGGAATCCCACACACACAACACCTTTTCTTTTTTTAAAGCCATCATAAAAGTCATTTATTCTTGGGGCACCTGGTTGGTAGAGCATGGGGTCATGAGTTCCAGCCCCATGTTGGGTAGAGAGATTACTTAATGTGTTTTGATGACTTTTTTTTTTTTAAGTTAGAATTGAATTATAGAAAGATGCTTTAATACCCCTATACATTTAGAAACATAAAAACCCCAAATAATTTAAGGTTCAAGGAACTGAATGATATTAAAACGATATCAGGGCACCTGGGCAGCTCAGTCGGTTGAGCATCCAACTCTTGGTTTCAGCTTGGGTCATGATCTCAGGGTTGTGGTGTCGGGGGCTCTCTCTCTTTCTCTCTCTCTCTCAAACAAATCTTAAAAAACAATGTGGGATGGTGTTTTGGGGTAATATCCTTATTAATAGTACCCTTTCCTTCTCTTTTCAGTCAAGTTTTATGAAGACCACAAACTGTATTAGATGTGACTCTTTGCTCCGCTTCAGAGTTATTGGGCAGAAAAACTTCTTCCCAATTAATAGATTCCAAAAACAGCAAAATTCAGCACGTTAAGATACCATAAAATGAGGGCTGCCTGTATTGGCTTGGGATTTCTTAAAAGTAAATTTCACCATTTTAATACTTTCTTTATTATAGGATGTGAAGTTACCCCAGATGTAAACATTTCAGGGCAAAAATTTAACATTAAACTCCTGATTCCAGTTGCAGAAGGCATGAATGAAATCTGGCTTCGTTGTGACAATGTAAGTTTTCCAATTAAAAACCTCAATTTTTCTTTGATTCCTTAGTGTGAGTAGACCAGTCATCCTTACGTTTTATACTCAAAGGACCCATCATGTGATACATTTCATATTTTAGTATTTCTTTTCAACAGGAAAAGCAATATGCACACTGGATGGCAGCCTGCAGATTAGCCTCCAAAGGCAAGACCATGGCAGACAGTTCATATAACTTAGAAGTTCAAAATATTCTTTCCTTTCTGAAGATGCAGCATTTAAACCCAGATCCTCAGTTAATACCAGAGCAGATCACAACTGATATAAATCCTGAATGTTTGGTGTCCCCTCGCTATCTAAAAAAGTACAAGAACAAGCAGGTATTTGATTCATTTTACTTCATCTATTTTCTTCTGGTTTTATGATTTTATGTACATACTTTAAATTTAGTTTCCCCACTTAAAACTTTTAATCTTAATTTCATATCCGGTGGCCAGAGTATAAAATAGGCTGCAGATATAAATTGGTCATTTAAAAAAATGTTTCTCATTTTAATAGGACAGATAAGGAGGTAAGATAGATGGAAGCATATTTACTCGCAAAAACCTAAGGAAACCACCCTGTGAATGGGGTGTTCTTTCAGGGAATTGAATATGGTGTGGATGCTTTGGGTTTTATTCCTTATATAATGAAGTGTGGGTATAAAGCACAGCCAGCATTTCCCAACAAAATCTGTAACAACTCTTCTTGCTGTCGAAATTGACTTTTCCAGCTTTGGAAATAAACTTTGTAAGGGTGGAAATAGTCTATAGTTCAACATTGTCTTTTCTTAACAGTAAAGAACCTAAACCAAGATTTACATGATGTGACAGAGTTTGGTAAATTTTCATTGAAATTTACTGCTTTTGTTCACTCTGTTTAGAATTCCTTTCCTGGAAATTAATACCATAAAAGGATTGCTATTTAGGAAAATTGTTCTTCGGTACAACATAAAAGGTTCTTTGCAGGGGAATTTCACTTGGGATAGCCCCCAGTATGTGCTACACCAAACATCATGCCATAAAAGGCAAAGGCTTCAGTCTGAGGTGGGGGGTGAAGAAGACCTTTCAAATAAATATTTCATTTCTACGTAGTTTCATTTTTATCTCTGTTAAAGAATAATTTTAAAACATTACTGAAAAGGCCCAATGAAATACCCAGAACGCTTATTAATTCTTAACTTTAAATATAATGTTTATCATATGGGTCTGAAATCACTTAGCTAAAAATAGATATTCATAAGTTTTAATCACCAAGTATTTGTTTTTAAGTTTCAGAGGTTGTGTAAGCTACATGGAAATTGTTTATCCCACAGTCGTATGATGTGGGAGTAGTGAGGAATGGAGGAAATGCTGCCCTGGGGAGCTTTGTGGAATGTAGATTGTAAGTTAAAAAGGGAAAGTGAATCAAGTACTAATTTCATTTTTTTAATTCTTAATTATTTCATTTGAAAATTACTTGTTAAAAAAACTTGTTTCTGAAAGTGGATTCATTTGCCTTCAAAAGGCAAGGAAGAATTTCAAATCTTAGCAAGCTTATCATTTCACTATCAGGTATCAGGAAAAAGAGATCTTAAAATGTAACTGTGAAGACTGCCAAATGTTGGTTTAGTTGTCAGAGGTACTGAGTTGTTGTCTCAGAAGCCTTTCAAATGATAGTTTTCACTTTTAAAAAAAGATAGTTTTCTATCCCTGATTTCTCAGCTAGATTGTCAAGTGAAAATTCTCTTGCGGACAAAACCAGTGAATATTTGACTGTCTTTAACTGGCAGGATGCCAGTATGTGTGTGGTCCATGGTTAAGGATTCTTCCAGCCTTGTCTTCCATGTTGGCATCTTATCAAATGCATAATCTTTCCTAATTCTCCCTTCTCTGACTAGATTTATAAATTGTTCCCAGAAAGTAGAGACCTAGGAAGTGCTGACAGGCAAAAGTCTAGTTGCTATTGCGTGTCAGGTGTTTAGTCATTGTTAAACTAATACAGTGGCATTCAGGAGTCCAGTAGGAAGAGATGCAGGCCATGGGCTCTTTCATTCCTACCAGGGCCCATCAATAGAGATTCTGTTATATTTAATCTACTTTAAATCCCCCAAACTACATATTATTTAAATTTGCTATATATATCTTAACCGGATTTTTACATTTTAAAGAAGAGTTCTCTGTTTTACCCATGTAAATACAAATCAAAATAGACTAATATGTGTACAACCTCCATTCCTAGTGTAGTGTATAGCATCTCTTCATTTTCCCTTCTAGGAAAAAGGATGCAAAAAACAGATGGTAACTGAGGGGTTTGCTTTTCTTTTGTAAATAAAGAAACAGTATGGTCACTGCACTTACTTTATACCTTCAGCTTATTTCTGAAAAGCGGTGCATGGGTCATATTATCGGACTCAATCTCAAAACATTAAAGGTTTTTGAATATTAATTTTGATTTTGCTACTAAAATCATTAGTCCTACCCTAACCAGTAAGAACTGGTAAATGAGCAGGGAAAAGGGTATTTGCTCTTTATTTTTCCCTACAAATTTTCTACCCATAATTTTAGTAACACTTAACAATCTAAAATAATGTGGAAGTGTTTCTCAGTATCCTAAATGGAAAGTAATCGCTGCTTCCTTGTTTTCATTTTCATGCTTGCATTTACTTTGCTTGGTTTCCACCTAAAGTAATTTTTTTTGCATGGTTTTTGGCTGGAATTTTGGTTTGCAGGTTACCGCAACTTTTTCTTTGCTTCATTGCCATTTTTCTGATTGCCTTTTTTTTTCTTTCTGCTTCCTTTTTCTTTCTTCGCACTGCCATCTACAGCCAGGCTATATAAGAGATTTGGTAAGTTCTCCGTATTTACCAAAAAAAGGAAAAAAAAGAAAAATACATAAAATATTGAAAGCCTTAGCCACAATCCCCTCTTACAGATTAATTTCCTTCCACTCTTTGTGGGAGTAATCATCCCAGAGGGAGTATAATTTAAATTAAAAGTTAACTTTTCTAGTGATTCCTTTAGAAAAAAATTTTAAATTATTATGGTGGTTTCAAGTACTTTAAAGGTGCTAATATTCCTGCTAGAAATTTATATTCCAGGTACTCACTCTGATAATTGTGTCTTGGTGCTAAATTTAAAACTTATATCATGTAAAGGATTAGAACATGCCCTTTTATAAAAGCAGCGACATATGTGTGTATACTTGGAATGTATCTCCAGTGTGGCAGTTATGTACTCCTAATTGTGCTTCTTGTTTCTGGATATATGGGAACTGACATTAATGAAAAATATATCAAGGTTTATTTTGAAGACTCATCATTTTACTAAAATTCCCAAATGTAGCTGTAGAAATTTCCTAATTCCAAACAATACGTGATTCAGTTTTTTACTTTTTGTCTTGATCCTCCCATGAAAGAATATTGTCTGATGGTAAAGGTGGTGTTTAATCATGTTTAGATAACAGCAAGAATCTTGGAGGCCCATCAGAATGTAGCTCAGATGAGTCTAATTGAAGCCAAGATGAGGTTTATTCAAGCTTGGCAGTCGTTACCAGAATTTGGCATCACACACTTTATTGCAAGGTCAGTGGTTCTCCTAAACACTTGTGTATAAATCTTAATCTGTTCCTTTTTACTTAATCTACTTCAATTAAATATTTAAAGTACCTACTGAGATCTATTGAGCAATTTTACAGTAAAATGTAAAGAATATTGAAACCTATTTTCTGTACTTGTAATTTTTACATTAAAAATTCAAAATGATTTCTATTTTTACTTATGTGAAAGTATCTTTTTTTTTTTTTTTAGAGTTAAAGTGCACATCTTAAAAGAAAACCAGAGCAGCATGTCCTCCCACTCCCGCCAACATGTTTTTTTAAACATTTTGTATGTTTTTAATACTATAGGTTCCAGGGAGGAAAAAAAGAAGAACTTATTGGGATCGCGTACAACAGACTGATTAGGATGGATGCCAGCACAGGAGACGCAATTAAAACATGGCGTTTCAGTAACATGAAACAGTGGAACGTAAACTGGGAAATAAAAATGGTAAGCTCAGTGTTAACTTGTGTGCGTGTAGCGCCCTTCTGCTAAGAATTAGTCAATTAAGAATAATAAGGCCGATAAATTCTGTAGATTATTTGTATCATCACCTCTTAAAGTATAAAACCTGGTTGGTTATTCATTTCCCACTTAAACTTGTCTGCTTCATAACTAGCCCAGTTATTAGAATTCCAAGAACATAAGGATCTGCTTAGAAGCTGGTTTTCTGGAAATGGTACATCCCTGTCAGTCACGGTAGCAGCTACTGTTTATTGAGGGCCTCCCCTGCGCCAGTGCTGATGCTAGATGTTGCTACATTCATACCCTATTCCTCAGCTCACCACAGCCTGCTGGGGTGGTTGGATTGGCCCTACTTTACAAAGGAGGACACTCAGAGGCCTGACAGCCATGATTGCCATGACCACACACTTGGTCACAGGGTCAGGATTCAAACTCAGATGCTCAGGGCTCTCAAACCTGGCACAGCTACTACTACATAGCATGCTGGCCCTAGCCTTGGAGTACAAGGAATGACATTTAAAATAAGCAATGTTTTACTGATAAGCCATGGGTTTTAGGATCATTAGGTTCGTTATATCAGTTTCTCTTACTGCACAGAATCTCATATTTCTGAAATACAGTAGTATCCCTCCTTACCTGTGGTAACCATGGTCCAGAAGCAGAGGACCCATCTTCCTTCTGACGTATTGTTAGGAGGTCCATTTAGTAGCCTAACACTATGTCACAGTGTCTGCTGTGTCCTTCACCTTCCTCCCATCACGTGGGCATTTTATCATTTCCCATTATCACAAGGGTGAGTGCAGTATGATATGTTGAGAGACCATATTCATGTAACTGATTACAGTATATTATAATTCTGTTTTATTGTTAATCTCTTACAGTATCTAATTGATAAACGTTATCATAGGTATGTATGTAAAGGGAAAAAAGCATAGTATATATAGGGTTCAGGACTATCCACAGTTTCAGGTATCCACTGGGGGTCTAAAAATATAGTCCCCATGGATAAGGGAGGGCTACTGTATTCACACATGATACCTAAAGTTAAATATCTAGAGCAAATATTAAATGCAGGAAGTAGGTTTTCTCCCAGGCCTTGAAGAGAGACCTCATTAATTGAATCACCAGAGACCATTGGGAACATAATGACCTAAACCCCGTGCATTCAGTCTTTTCAGAACATGAAAACTAAAAAGGAGTGGTGGAGGGGCTAATAAACTTCATTCTTTTGGAATTGAAGGCATTATTAAGTTTAGGATTTAAAAAAAAAAAAGAATTGAGGATCAACAAGTACTTTGTGAGAGGGCAGACTTTAAATAGAACACTAGCTTCGCTTGTACCCAACCATACGGAGTTTTCCTGGGACTGACAGTTCTTCGTCTTTGTTCCAGGTCACAGTAGAGTTTGCAGATGAAGTACGATTGTCCTTCATTTGTACTGAAGTAGATTGCAAAGTGGTTCATGAATTCATCGGTGGCTACATATTTCTCTCAACACGTGCAAAAGACCAAAATGAGAGTTTAGATGAAGAGATGTTCTACAAACTTACCAGTGGTTGGGTGTGAATAGAGATACTGTGTAATGAAACTCCATGGCCATAACAATATTTAACTTTGAAAGCTGTTGTTTGTTATATGCTGCTTAATAAAGTAAGCTTGAAATTTATCATTTTATCATGAAAACTTTTTTGCCTTACCAGACCAGTTAATAAGTGCACTAACAAGCACGACTATTAATCTGCTATCATGATACAATATATGGACTTGAATATGGCACACATTCCTTAGGGCCATGAATTGAAAACTAAAGTAGTGGGCAAGTCAGGAGCAAAAAATCACTGATTTAATTTAAGCTAGCGGTTTCAAACCAAGAAACTCAAGCCATCTACTTTAAAGCTATCCAGGGCTTAAACTATATGAAGTCTATTTATCATGTTTAATGCATGTGTTTTAATGTATGTTTAATTTGATCTTGTGTTTTAAAAATACCTACTTCTGGTAGCCATTGATTCTCCATCCCCCCACTCCCACCCCCAAATAAATCAGGCCTGCAAAAGATGCCTGATATTGACCTTGAAGGAAAATGCTATCAGTCCGTTAAGGCTTGGTTTGTTTTTGTCCTTGAATAAGCATGTATGTATATTGTCTTGTGTTTTTATTTTTACACCCTGTTGTATTACAACACTTTTAGTATTCACCAGCATATTCACTGTCTGCCTAAAATATGCAACTTTTGCATTACAATATGAAGTAAAGGTCTATGAAGTATGCATTTTGTGTAACTAATGTACAAACACAAATTTTATAAAATTGTACAGTTTTTTTAAAAAACTACTCACAACTAGCAAATGGCTTAGATGTAGCATCTTTGCATTAATTAAATGCTTTTAAAAATATAATTAATGTGGTTTTCATACCTGCTAAATTAAGAATGACTTCATTATAGTCATGATTTGCCACAATGTCCTTAACTCTAATGCCTGGACTGGCCATGTTCTCGTCCACTGCGCTGTTACAGTCCACGTTGGTGCTAGTCAGAAAATTCTTAGCTCACACAACCCAAAAGGGTGCCGGGAGGGGTGGATTACCAGTATTGTCCAATAATCCATGGTTTAAAGACTGTATAAATGCATTTTATTTTAAATAAAAGCAAAATCTTTTATTTATGTTTCTTTTTGTACTTCTTGTCTTTACTGTTTACATACTAATTATCTGATGAACTTTTGCGTTATGAGGACAGCTTGCTGGTATTCCAGAGTATCACCAGGTAGTGATACTTAATCTCTAGGATAGATTCTTCCACCCCCCCTCACTTTTTCTGCTACTTAAAAATGAACTGCATAATATTTAAATATTAGAAATATAAACAGAAATATGACAGTTGAACAGACATTGTTGACTTGGGCCAAATTTGTTTGAACTGCAAACTGACTCCTGGTCTAAAAAACCACAACTCACATGTATGAATTTACTCCCTGTTGTTAGTGCTATTACATCTTCATTCCACCGCAAAACATCAGTCCTGGACTTTCTCCTTTAGCTCTGGCATTTAATCAGGCCAGGTCTTGTTCCTTTTTCCCTCAGGCAAACTTTTGTCATTGTTATCACTGACACCTGAATTCAGGTCCTTATCCTGTGCCTGCCACAATGCCACAACCTCTAAAAGCAAAGCTCGGATCACATTCTCCATGGCTTTTCTTTGTACTCTAAGGTCAGGTCCTAACAAACCTCACTTTAAAATATAAGGGCTCCTTCCACTAAAAAAAAAAAAAAAAAAAAATTTTTAAATAATATATTCCCTTTCCTCACCTTAAATACAGGTCACCAACTTGTATAGTCACTCAGTAAAAGCCCTAACATATATATATATATATATATTTATATATTTATTTGAGAGTGTGCATGAGTGGGGGAAGGGCAGAGGGAGAAGAAGAGGGCAAAGCAGACTCCCCACTGAGCAGGGAGCCTGACTTGGGGCTCCATCCCAGGACCCTGAGATCATGACCTGAGCTGAAGGCAGACACTTAACCAACTGAGCCCCCCCGGGCGCCCCAGCCCTGAAATATATTTAGACGAAAGCATACCTGAGTCCCGTAGAGTCTCATAGCCACTCTGCTGATTTCTTGGGAGTTTTGCCCCACTTTCCATCCTAGCGATTTCAACATTAATTCAGCCCCAGCACAGCCCTGGCTGTATGTCAGCTCTGATGACCCTGGTTGACTACAGCATAACAGCCAAAGTCCCCAGGCAGGAGCTAAGAGGTCTTCTATGGTCAGGATCCCAGCCTGCATTCTCCTCCTTATCTCCCAAACTGGGCGACCCACATTCTCCAGACACAGTTTGCACTCGCCCGCCACCATGTCATTCCACAGACTTACTTCCAGTCTCCTACCTGTCCCAAATCCCACCTTTCTGGCGTTCTAGAAATTTTAAAAGAGCTCAAGGGTTCTTTCTTCCATGAATACTTCCAAGTTTCCTCACAGCCCCAAATTTTCTTACTCCTGTAAACAGCTACTGAATTTGGTCCTTTTCATCCTTATTATGATTATTGCCTATAATAATTTATTACTCCCTTGAGGACTAGGTCTGAGCCTCATGGTTTCTACCTAGGATCAGTTAACACATTTGTTCATTGAATATGGCTATTTTAGAAATCAAGGAATTATTACAACTTAGAATTTTTACAACCTCAGCATAGTTTAATATGGAGGAAACAGACATGGTTTTTGCACACCAGCTATGCATTAAGAGGCATGCTGAGTGTTCATGTACATGATCTCTTCTAAAGATTCACACACTCCATCTTCATTTTCTAGACTCACAGAAGTCAAGTGACCTGTTCAAAGTAACAAAGCTATAATTAATTAGTGCCAAGGTAGAGCTAGAAGTAGAACCAAAATTCCCTCTCCCTACCCAATAGTGTTAAAAACAAACCCTTCACGAATCTTGAGGAACCCCATTGGTAGTAGTCTGTCTACAGAGACAACATGGCCAGAGCCTCCAGAGACAGTTTCAGGTTTCTGCTTTGTGACTCAGTTTCATGTGAACATGAAGGCACCGGGAACAGGAGACTAACCAAGCTCTCTTCCAACTCTATTTCTCTTAAATCAGCAAGTTAGAGACCTGCTGATGATGTAGTTAATCGGTAATTTCAACTTGGTACAAATTATTTTTTACACAACCTTGAACTTCAAAGGGCAGGGACCTAGATACATGAACTTATTTTCTTTTTCAGCTTTAACAAGGTATAACTGACAAAATTGTAAGATATTTAATATTTTTTTTAAAGATTTATTTATTTATTTATTTGAGAGAGAGAGAATGAGAGATAGAGAGCACGAGAGGGAAGAGGGTCAGAGGGAGAAGCAGACTCCCCGCTGAGCAGGGAGCCCGATACGGGACTCGATCCCGGGACTCCAGGATCATGACCTGAGCCGAAGGCAGTCGCTTAACCAACTGAGCCACCCAGGCGCCCAAAATTGTAAGATATTTAAAGTATAGGATGCCTGGGGTGGCACAGTTGGTTAAACATCTGACTCTTGGTTTCCGCTCAGGTCGTCATCTTAGGGTTGTGAGATCCAGCCCTGTGGTGGGCTCCACACTCAGCGCAGAGTCTGCTTGAGATTCTCACTCCTCCCTCTGCCCCTCCTGCTCATGCTTGCTCACACTCTCTCTCAAATAAATACCTTAAAAAGAATTAAAGTGTACATCGTGGTGATTTATGTATATATTCTGAAAGGATTTCTACCATCTAGTTAACATATCCATCCCCTAGAGACACAAACTTTGTAGAAGAAAAGCCGCTTTCAGTTCTTGACCTGACCCTCTGCTCTCTTACACAAGTCAAAAAACAACAGTGTGGCAGATTATACTCTTTGCATTCTGTATACCGTAGTTTTTGTTCCTTTTTTATGTTAAAAGTCTTTGCAAATCAAAACCACAATGAGGTATCATCTCACACCTGTCAGAATGGTTAGGCTCAAGATGACAAACAGGGACGCCTCGGTGGCTCAGTCGGTTAAGCGTCTGCCTTCGGCTCAGGTCATGATCCTGGGGTCCTGGGACGGAGCCCCGCATCGGGTTCCTTGCTTCTCCCTCTCCCTCTGCCTACTGCTCTGCCTACTTGTGCGCGTGCGCTCTCTCTCTCTCTGTCAAATAAAATCTTAAAAAAGAAAGAAAAGACAAGTGTTGGTGAGGATCTGGAGAAAAACGAATCTTCTCATGCACTGTTGGTGGAAAAGCAAACTGGAAGGTCCTCAAAAATTTAGTAATAGAAATCCCGTAGGATCCAGTAAATCCACTACTGGGTATTTACCCAAAGAAAACAACACGGGGTGCCTGGGTGGCTCAGTCGTTAAAGCGTCTGCCTTCGGCTCAGGTCATGATTCCAGGGTTCTGGGATCAAGCCCTGCATCGGGCTCCCTGTTTGGCAGGAAGCCTGCTTCTCCCTCTCCCACTCCCCCTGCTTGTGTTCCCTCTCTCGTTGTCTCTCTCTCTCTCTCTCAAATAAGTAAATAAAATCTTTAAAAAAAGAAAAACACTAATTCTAAAAGATATATGCACCCTATGTTTACTGCAGCATCATTTACAACAGCCAAGATACAGAAGCAACCAAAGTGTCCATCGATAGATGAATGGATAAAGAAGATGTGTGTGTGTGCGCGCACACACACACACAGGAGTATCACTGAGCCATAAAAAAGGATGACATCTTACCATTTGCAACAGCATGGATAGACCTAGAGGGTATTATGCTTAGTGAAGTAAATCAGACTGAGAATGACAAATACCATATGATTTCACTTACATGTGGACTCTAAAAAACCAAAGGCAATGAATAAACAAGCAAGCAGAAACAGACCCATAAATACAGAGAACAAACCAATGGTTGCCAGAGGGGAGGAGGGTGGAGGGATGGGCATAATGGATGAAGGGGCGTGGGAGGTACAGGCTTCCCGTTACGGGATGAATCACGGGGATAAAGGGTGCCGCATACGGAATACAGTCACTGGTACTTAGTAGCGGTGTATGGTGACAGATGGCAGCCACACCGGTGGTGAGCATGGCATGATGTAGAGACTTGCCAAAGCACTATGTTGTACACCTGAAACTAACATTGTGTGTCAAATATACTTCAGCAAAAAAAGTCTCATGGAGGTGTTTTAATTAGTTACCAGTTAGTGATGTAGTGGGATCAGACCAACCTGGGTTTCTGACCTTAATTTATCTGGAAAAATTACCACATAGAGTTAAAGAAAATGTTTAAAGTACCCAACACTCACCTACATTGCATATAGTAGTTTCTCAGTGAAATGTTAGGTTTTTTTTTTTTAACACAAAACTTCTTTTTGATCCTCTAAGACACATTCCTATCCTATTCCTTTCATAACTGTTTCTACCCCTATAATTAAGTTTGACAAGTTCTGCTGCTGGTTTGAGACCAATCACTTAAAACATGGCAACATCTTTACCACTTCGATAATTCATAAGGGAACAGGGCTTTCGGAATTCAGCCCTTTGTGCCAGAAACATCACTGATACTTACTGAAGCCTTTCCTACATGCAAAACCCTACACAGCTGCCGCCTGTGCTCTGCTTTATTCCAAAAATGTAGACTGATTCAAAAAATCCCGCCACCCCCCAAAAACCATTTTTGCGGCTACTGTAGTCATTCCCTCTTTTTTGTAGCTCTGCCGTTGTGAAGAAGGCAAGGAAGAGCCAGCAGACATGGTACGATAAATTGGTCAGTTGTTAATCTGCTGATAAGGGTCCAGTCATCTCTACACAGCAATATCCAGGAAGAAGTTGTTTACTGAAAGCTCCACGCTCTTCAACAAATTAACTGTGTCTTTATCTGTTTGAACTGCTTTGGTTTGGCAACTCAAGAATGGGGGAGGTGGTAGAGAGTGACAGGAAATGGGAAATTTTCAATCTGGGTAAAAGGAATGAAATTCTCAGAGTGGATTGCAGAGCCACCCAGAACAGGAAACAGGGTAGCTAAAAAAGCCTTATCTGGTGACCTTATTTCCACTGTGCTGATTCCTCTCTTGCTTTCTCTGCTTTATTTAATAAACAATACAAAGTTTCCCAGGCTGAATGTGTACATTAAAATTCTCTATTGCCTTAGTAAACAGTTACCAGCACACATACACTCCTAGTTGAGTTTCCCTTTTGATATTTGTGCATGGGCCTGCATATTATTAA